GCCAGCATGACTGCATGGAGTGCCATTAGATAAAGGTAAAGGTTTTCCCCTGACATGAAGTCCAGTCGGGCCTGACTCTGTAGGTTGGTGCTCATCTCCATTTCTATGCCAAAGAGCTGGTGTTGTCCATATACACCTCCAAGATCATGTGGCTGATATGACTGCATGAAGCACCGTTACCTTCCTGCCGGAGCAGTACCTATTGATCATATTTGCATGTTTTCGAACTGCTAGGTTGGCAGAAGCTGGGGCTGACAGCGGAAGCTCACACCACTCCCTGGATTCAAACCTGCGACCTTTTAGTCAACAAGCTCAGCAGCTCAGTGCTTTAACCCACTTAGCCATCGGAGTGCCGTTACGAATCAGTTTTGGGTCAACTAGATTCAATTTGGTTATTTGGGGTGCTGATTCAGAAAATTGCATTGGATAGACCACATCAGCTCTAGTTTCTGATACAGAACATATGCCATCCAGTAGTCGCCATCTGCTCGCCCACAGAAAACCATATTTAATAAGCCTTGGCACTATAAGAGGGTTTTGCGACATCAATTGCTCTTGTTGCAATGGTGTAGTAATGGTGAGGCTGCAGACCATATTTTAATTCTTGAGGACCATTGGTGGTCCATGGACCACAGGTTGGGAACCACTGCTCTAAAGAGTCAGGAGGAGAAAATATTGTTGCTCAGTTCGTTGAGTCTTAAGTGTAGAGCTTTCTTTCCAGTCTTCCATTTCTGTCTTGCAACAGCCATTCGAGGTAGGCTTCTATATATTCATTTAAGCTGTTTCACTCTGTGCTGAAATAGGTTGCGGTTCCAAGGTGACTAAAACCGTTGTATGATGCAGACGTCCATAATTTTAGTTGTGTTGCAAAAGTTATCTGTGCTATAATCATTAAAGTTAGCAATATGTGAATTGCCAAACATCATTTTCCAAGAAATTAAACTGCTTTCCAGGAGTCATCACTTTTATGGTCACAAATTGTGCAATATCTGTAATATTATGTAAGATAGCTTCTGAGTTACATTTGCCCTTCCCTTTTACCCATGATGATTTATTAGCATTGTTTGTGTAGGATGTTTCTTAACCATGTTGAGTAGAATTAAGCTAACTGTTGCTCTAGTATTCAACATTGCCTATTTTTCAGTTAAGGATATAAAGAAATAACAAAGTCCCAGAGTGTTGAAAAAGCTCTATGCATTTAAGGCATGTAATATTTCATGGGATTCAGAGACTGATAAAAGATACAAAAAGTAAAGAGGTGAGCATGTAAGTAATAAAAGTTATAGCTAGAAGCAAGTTCCATTTTTTTTACCTTTTCCCCATTTTTATTGTTTTATCCAACTCCCACCCTCCCCTCCTTGTGCATGCAAATTATACAGCAAACTACAGAAGTTACATTTGAAATATCAATCTCAATCTTAATTTTTCTACTCCACATCTTAGCACATTCTCTAAATAATTCCTAACTGGTTCCCACATCCTCTTAGTTATTGTAACCTTTTCAATTTTATCTCTATTATTCCATTTGCATTTTTTATTTCCATATCACATGGTTAACATATTAACTATGCAATTCACAGTGAATCACAGCGCTCTCTGGACCATCCTCCAAAAAATTGTGCACCCTAACAAATTTGTGAACATCCTAGGGCTCCTCCATGATGACATGACGGCAACAGTCTTGGACAGTAATGGTTCCCAAAGTGACCCATTTAAGGTGGAATCAGGTGTTAAACAGGGATGTGTTATTGCCCCAACCTTATTTTCCATCTTCATCACTATGATAACTTCATCTTGTTGATGGGAAGCTTCCCACCGGAGTGGAAATCATCTGTCGGACAGATGGAAAGCTATTTAACCTCAACAGATTGAAAGCCAAAATGAAGGTCGCAACAACATCTGTTATAGAACTCCAATATGCTGATGACAACATCATCTGTGCATATTCAGAAGAAGACCTACAAGCCACTCTAAACACCTTCGCAGAAGCATATGAGAAGCTTGGCCTGTCATTGAACATCGAGAAAACCAAAGTGTCACCAGCAGTCACCAGCCAATCCCTCTCCAATGCCAGAAATACAGCTTAATGGTGTAACATTAGAAAATGTTGACCATTTCCGCTCACTTGGCAGCCATCTCTCCACAAAAGTCAACATTGACACTGATATACAACACCGCCTGAGCTCTGCTAGTGCAGCATTTTTCTGAATGAAGCAGAGAGTGTTCAAGGACCGAGCTATCCATAGGGATACCAAGGTGTTTGTTAATAAAGCTACTAACTGTCCCCTGCCACGCGTTGCTGTGGCCCAGTCTGTTGATCTGGAAAATAAAGTAATGAGAAAGTGTAGGTTTTTAATATATGTAATTTCTTTATGCTTGTGGGTAAACAGTATTTCTTGCTGTTTCTTTGTCAGGACAATGATATGTTGCCCACCCCGGAACATGCGACATATCATTGTCCTTCTTTAAGGGTCCCTTTCAAATCTATGATACTATATCTCTCTATGTGTGAATCATATGTATCTATCTATCTATCTATCTATCTATCTACCTATCTATATCGATGGCTGGATGGCTCTTTGTCAGGAGCACTTTGATTACGTTTTCTTGCCCTAATGAAGGGAGTTGGATTGGATGGCCTTAAGTATTTTCTGTTGGTCATGGGGGTTCTGTGTGGGAAGTTTGCCCCGATTCTATTGGTGGGGTTCAGAATGCTCTTTGATTGTAGGTGAACTATAAATCCCAGTAACTACAACTCCTAAATGTCGAGGTCTATTTCCCCCAAACTCCACCAATGTTCACATTTGGGCATAGTATTTTTGCCAAGTTTGGTCCAGATCCATCATTGTTTGAGTCCACAGTGCTCTCTGGATGTAGGTGAACTACAACTCCAAAACTCAAGGTCAGTGCCCACCAAACCCTTCCAGTATTTTCTGTTGGTCATGGGAGTTCTTTGTGCCAAGTTTGGTTCAATTCCATCATTGATGGAGGTCAGAATGCTCTTTGATTGCAGGTGAACTATAAATCCCAGTAAGTACAACTCCCAAATGATAAAATCTTAATTTTTTGAGTGATGGTCACTCCTTGCGTTGTGAGGCATTTTGTTGCCAAATTTGGTGTGATTTCGTTCATTGGTTCTTTTGTTTTTAAGGTACTCATTATGCACAGAGCATTTTAATATATATAGATTGTCCTCCCAACTCTGCTATATGCCTGCCAGACATGGACTATCTACAGACATCACATGCAACTCCTAGAACAATTCCATCAGCGATGCCTCTGAAAAATCCTGCAAATCTCTTAGGAAGACAAGCGGACAAATGTCAGCATGCTGGAAGAAGCAAAAACCACCAGCATTGAAGTGATGGTCTTCCACCATCAACTCTGCTGGACCGGCCACGTTGTCCGGATGCCCGACCATCATCACCCAAAGCAGTTGCTCTACTCCGAACTCAAGAATGGAAAACGGAATGTTGGAGGACAGGAAAAGAGATTTAAGGATGGGCTTAAAGCCAACCTTAAAAACTCTGGCATAGACACTGAGAACTGGGAAGCCCTGTCCCTTGAGTGCTCCAGCTGGAGGTCAGCTGTGACCAGTAGTGCTGTAGAATTTGAAGAGGCATGAATGGAGGGCGACAGATAGAAATGTGCCAAGAGGAAGGCACATCAAGCCAACCCCGACGGTGACTGCCTTCCATCTGGAAACCAATATCCTCACTGCGGGAGAACATGCAGATCAAAAATAGGGCTCCACAGTCACCTACGGACCCAACGCCAGTACACCAATCTTCTGCCTGCTTCTCTCTACTGCCGGCATGGAGTCCCCCAGAGCCCATCACATGGTGCAGGGATATTCTGCGGAGCTCCGTGCTGGCAATATTGTGGCAGCTGAGCCCAGAGGAGTTGGTTGTACACTTGACTCCACATTGAGGAACAGAAGAGGAGCCAAAAAGGAAGTAGGGACAGATGGGGAAACTACGTAGAAAGAAAGAACACAGACCCCAACAAGAGGTAACAGAGCCTGATGGCTCCTTCCACTGCCCCTGTGATTACCCCTGCTGTCCCCAGCTTTACCCCTGTCTGTCTGATAAGGCCCTGAGTTTGTAAGATGTTCTAATAACTCAGCTACAACACTGTGGTTTGGTCTGGTGAGGCAATCCATTTCACATCTGAACAACTCTTACAGTCAAGAGGTTCTTCCTAGCATATAACTGGAATCTTTTGTGTCATTTCCATTATCAGTGGACTAGATCCACTGGACTAGATGCTAGACCACAAAGCACAGTCAGGGGTTCTGCAGGGGGCCTTGGCCCCCACTGGTTCCTCCCGTCCAGGTAGCATGTGGCCTGCAGGACCTTCCCGTCTCTGCAGCCAGCACGGCCTGCAAGGGGAGATCTATGAGGCACCAGCGTGGGTGCAGCCTGAAAGGGGAGGACTACGAGGCACCAGTGCGGCCTGCAGGACCTCCCTGCTGACGTTTTGAGTGTGTTTTTTCTGCACGGCAGAAGCAGGTTGGACTGGGTGGCTCCGAAAGTTGCTATTATTATTATTATTATTATTATTATTATTATTATTATTAGAAACACAACAAGATGCGTCCACGGCAGACACACTGCTGACTGTTGAATTGGATCACATGTCAGACACTTCCCAAGTGTCTAGGACTGTGTGATGTATCAGCGAATAATGCGTGCAGATCCCTTCTGCAGCTGGCAGATGGTAATTTTGTCAACGCCAATTGTGTTTAAGTGCAGGCCAAGGTCTTTAGGCACTGCACCCAGTGTGCCGATCACCACTGGACCACCTTGACTGGCTCGTGCCAGAGTCTTTGCAGTTGATCTTTAAATCCTCATATCGTGTCAGCTTTTCCAGTTGTTTCTCTCTGCAATCCTGCTGTCACCTGGGATTGCATCGACGATCCATACTTTGTTTTTTAACATGATTGTGAGGTCAGGGGTATTATTATTATTATTATTATTATTATTATTATTATTATCATCATCGCTTTTCAGCCTTTTGGCTAAGATCAAGTATAGTATCTGTTCTTATCAGTTTAATATCTGATATGTTCTCTATTTGAGAGGTAAAGGTAAAGGTAGGTTTTCCCCTGACATTAAGTCCAGTCATGTCTGACTCTGGGGTGTGGTGCTCATCTCAATTTCTAAGCCAAAGAGCCAGCGTTGTCCGTAGACACCTCCAAGGTCATGTGGCCGGCATGACTGCATGGAGCGCCGTTACCTTCCCGCCGGAGCGGTACCTATTGATCTACTCACATTTGCATGTTTTCGAACTGCTAGGTTGGCAGAAGCTATGGCTGACAGCGGAAGCTCACGCTGCTCCCCGGAATCGAACCTGCGACCTTTCGATCAACAAGCTCAGCAGCTCAGTGCTTTAACCCACTGCGCCACCGGGGGGGGGGGTGGGGGATATGAACATATATATATATAGTTCTCTATTTGAAAACTATATATTAAATGGTTTTTTGGAAATAGGAGCTGGAACAGGAGCTTGCTCTGTCCACTCCATGCATCAACCTGGTATTGCAGTGCCTGCAGGTTGGTATTGGAGCCCCCGGTGGCCCAGTGGGTTAAACCCCTGTGCCAACAAGACTGAAGACCCGACAGGTCTCAGGTTCGAATCCGGGGAAAGCACCAGCTCCTCATGTGGGGACATGAGAGAAGCCTCCCACAAGGATGGTAAAAATATCAAAACATCTGGGTGTCCCCTGGGCAACGTCCTTGCAGATGGCCAATTCTTTCATACCAGAAGCGACTTGCAGTTTCTCAAGTCTCTTCTGGCATGACAAAAATTATTATTATTATTATTATTATTATCATCATCATCATCATCATCATCATCATCATCATTGCAAAGACTAGATGTCTCCTGGGGTCTTCCACTGAAAAACTGTTAGGTTTATGTTGGTTAAAATTGTTTTTCATTTTAAATATTGTATTTTTCTTTCTTTCTTTCTTTCTTTGCACTACAAATGAGATATGTGTAGTCTGCATAGGAATTTGTTCATGTTTTTTTCAACTATTCACACAAACATTCTCCATCCATCTGCCACTGGCCCGGGTCATCTGTCAAATTTTAAAATGCAATGTGGCCCCTGTGTCCAAAAGTTTCTTAGGGCTAAACGAGAAACTTTTCCTTCCAAAAGGGCTCTGTGGCTTTAAAAGTTCGAGAACTTGAGATCTAGGACCTCACCACATTGGGGTTGAAATGACCCCTCTTTCAGACAGGGCCTGCTGAGCACCATCAGATGACACTGGCTTGGACCACCCCCATTCTTCCCAAAGTGGAGGGGAAGCTTCGCAAGTCACTGTGTGGAGGAAAGTGTATTTTGGGTTGTCTAATGGAGCTACCCACATTTTGTTGCCCTTTCCTCCATCTGATGGGGGAAATGGCAATACAGTGATGAACACTGTTCTTTGCCCTATATGATGGGGCCTTGTCCTGTCCCCACCATGCGATGGGGGAAGAAGGGGGGGCCCTTTCGCTGGCAAATGCCAGCAAAACAGCATGACCCCAGGGTGTGTGTAAAGAGGCCCCAAGTCTCTGGAAAAGCAAAAAGCAAGTTTGTTTTAATGGGATTGATATGTTGGAGAAATAAGCTACTCCCTATTGTGAATCATCTTTCAACACACAAAAAGTCATTTGCGGGCTGAAACAGGAACTTTGGAGCCATACATAGTGAAACACCTACATCCTGTGATATAACTTCTATGTCATTGATAAATGAAGTGGAACTTTTCAAATACCTTTGCCCTTCTCTTTCAAACTTCCTGTTTTTAATTACCTAACATGCATGGGTTGTTATTAATAATGGTAAACTGGATTAAGTTTTCCATTGCCCTAGTACTAACCCACCCTGTTACTGTTTACATTTCAGATGCTCCCCTTGTTTCCATTGGGCTTTGTCCCCGAAGATCTCTCCTAATGTATTTAAAGGAAATTAAGTTTCCAACCCTTCCATTGTATATTCAAAGAAATGTAGAGGTAGTAAAACACTTAACACCATAGTAGGCTTTGCTCTCACATTCCAAGTTCCTAGCTAATGGGATGAAAGTTATAACGATAATTGATATATAGCAGTCTAGATATGCAGATGACGCCACTCTGATGGCCGAAAGCGAGGAGGAGCTGAGGAGCCTTCTAATCAAGGTGAAAGAAGAAAGCACAAAAGCTGGGTTGCAGCTAAACATCAAAAAAACCAAGATTATGGCAACAAGAATGATTGACAACTGGGAAATAGAGGGAGAAAACGTGGAGGCAGTGACAGACTTTGTATTTCTAGGTGCAAAGATGCAGACTGCAGCCAGGAAATCAGAAGACGTTTACTTCTTGGGAGGAGAGCAATGTCCAATCTCGATAAAATAGTGAAGAGTAGAGACATCACACTGGCAACGAAGATCCACATAGTTAAAGCAATGGTATTCCCCATAGTCACCTACAGATGTGAGAGCTGGACCATAGGGAAGGCTGAGCGAAGGAAGATAGATGCTTTTGAACTGTGGTGCTGGAGGAAAGTTCTGAGAGTGCCTTGGACACCAGAAGATCCAACCAGTCCATACTTCAGGAAATAAAGCCCGACTGCTCATTGGAGGGAAGGATAGTAGAGGCCAAGATGAAGTACTTTGGCCACATCATGAGACAGGAAAGCTTAGAGAAGACGATTATGCTGGGGAAAATGGAAGGAAAAAGGAAGAGGGGCCGACCAAGGGCAAGATGGATGGATGGCATCCTTGAAGTGACTGGATTGGCCTTGAAGGAGCTGGGGGTAGTGACGGCTGACAGGGAGCTCTGGCGTGGCCTGGTCCATGAGGTCACGAAGACTCAGAAGCAACTGAATGAATGAACAACAAAATTATAAATCGCTATGGCTAGATCTACACTACCAGTTTCTGAATCCAGATTATCTACTTCACATTCGCAACGTAGACTCATATAGTCTAGTTCAAAGCAGATAATCTGGGTTCAGAAACTGGATTATGTGGCAAAGTAGATGGAGCAAACCATAGCAGGATCTATGTGTCTGAAGGAGTTGCCGTGTCTCCTTATTTCACCCACAGGTCTGTTCGCACTACACAAATATAATGCTACTAGACGCCCCCTGCCACATGTTGCTGTGGCCCAGTCTGTGTATATGTGTTTCGAGTGGGTGTATATGTGCATGTATATATTTGTGTATATGTGTATATATGTGTTTGCGCACACACACACACACACACACACACACACACACACACACATATATATATATATATATATATATGCATGCTGTCACACGCTGGACCTGTGCATAAAACTGTAGACAGGACATAAATTCTGTGTGCCCAACGGGACGCTGGGGCTGCCTCAGATTAAAGGCCTTTGGATTTCCTTACACAAAGTTCTGTAGAGGCTTAAAGTATGTCCAACAAAGTTCTTTATTAATGAAAACAAACAGGTACTTTAAAGCTTTCTTAACAGTCTATTGGCTCTTGCAATCTTGTTCACTGGGAACAGGCACTATCTTCATAACTATATAATAACTAATGGGGAAATCCTTAACTTCTAATCTGGGCAGTCTGTACTTGCCTCTGTTGGCGTGGAATCCTTAACTTCTAATCTGGGCAGTCTTTCTTTGCCTCTGTTGGCGTGGAGCCCCTGCACCTGGTACCAACTGCTTCTGGCTTCCGTGAGTGACCCTTACCAAGCAGAGCTTTGTAGACTTCCAGAGGAAAAAGGAGTTCAGGTTTCGGTGATGGCTGGCTGAAGTCCCTCAGCAAAGGAGCTGTAAGGCTGTATAATCCTCGGCCAAGCTGTGGGACCTTTTCTCCCCAGCCAAGCTGTAGAAGACGAAGCTTTCTACAGGAGCTCTTGGTATTATGTCCTGCATGAAAGGCTTCTCTGTGTGGACTGAACTCAAAAAGGCTCCTATTCCCTCCAAAAACCCAAAAAGGGGGCGGGACCAGGGAACCTAATTATAATTGACAGGTGGCTTGCCCTATGATTGCAGCCAAAAGAAGCCACCTATCTGCAGAGTCCCTGAAACTTAGGACTACAACAAACGTTCAATGCAAAGCAAACAAAATTAGAGCTCCTGGTACAGCTGTACTTGCACTATATGTGTGTGTGTGTGTGTGTGTGTGTGTGGTTTTGCGCATGTATTGTAATGAATTTTTATTTGTTGGCTTTTTAAGTCTTTCTGCAGTGTTTTTCGTTGTTTTTATGAGTGATGGTCACTCGTTGGCCTGATAGGTGTATTGTGTCCAAATTTGGTATCAATTCGTCCAGTGGTTTTTGAGTTATGTTAATCCCACAAACTAACATTACATTTTTTATTTATATAGAAGATATTCCACCTCAACTGTCATGGCAGTGTCTCATGAAATCCTGAGATTTGTAGTTTGGTGAGATACTTGGCTGAGGGAGGATTTATGGAGACCGAAAGGTTAGACCAGTGTTTCTCAACCTGGGGGTCGGGACCCCTGGGGGGGTCGCGAGGGGGGCGTCCGAGGGGTCACCAAAGACCATTGGAAAATACAGTATTTTCTGTTGGTCATGGGGGTTCTGTATGGGAAGTTTGGCCCAATTCTATCATTGGTGGGTTTCAGAATGCTCTTTGATTGTAAGTGAACTATAAATCCCAGCAACTACAACTACCAAATGTCAAGTCTATTTTCCCCAAACTTCACCAGTGTTCACAGTTGCCCATGTTCGGTCTGTGTGCCAAGTTTGGTCCAGATCCATCATTGTTTGAGTCCACAGTGCTCTCTGGATGTAGGTGAACTACAACTCCAAGACTCAAGGTCAATGAGTTCCAGTATTTTCTGTTGGTCATGGGAGTTCTGTGTGCCAAATTTGGTTCACTTCTATTGTTGGTGGAGTTCAAAATGCTCTTTGATTGTAGGTGAACTATAAATCCCAGGAACTACAACTCCCAAATGACAAAAATCAACCCCCCCCCCCAACCCTACCAGTATTCAAACTTGGGTGTATTGGGTATTTGTTCCAAATTTGGTCCAGTGAATGAAAATACATCCTGCACATCAGGTATTTACATTACGATTCATAACAGTAGCGAAATGACAGTTATGAAGGAGCAACGAAAATAATGTTATGCTTGGGGGTCACCACAACATGAGGAATGGTATTAAGGGGTCGCGGCGTTAGGAAGGTTGAGAAACACTGGGTTAGACGA